CATATCTGTAAATTTCAGATGGAGGAATCATCATTTTTTAATGCGCCTGTCTTGCTAGCTTCCTTTTTGTGTCCTGCCGGGGGGGGAAAGTGCATTAATAAACTATGGGTTAAAGCTGCTGGTGTGAATTCTTTTTTCTTGTTCCTGATTTCTTGGAGATTAGCTAGGGATCTGCTCACCTATTTATTTGTTTAAGCGATGGCAGCCAGGCAATTTGCTTTAGTTTAGCTGGGTCACCTTCCTAGTCCCCAAAGTTTTCCGTGCCCCTTCATATGTTCAAGCTAAGGAACCGTAACCATTTCCTTTGTTTTGTTAAAAACACACAGGATTTTCTCATCTGGCAAAGAGTTATTTTTCAGTTTTTAACAGTGCAGTGCAAACCCAGGTGCCATACATTATGTATGAACCTGGATGCAAAGATCTGGAGGATATTAATGGTATTACTTCCTTTTGCTCCAGCTACGCAGCGAGGCGACTGCTCAGCAGAGATATTCCCCCTTTTATAGCCACCAGAGACCGAAACCAGGCCCTCTGCTTGTGCTTTGTGAAGAGATTGGATGCGGAGCCCCGGAGCTCTCCCACTTGCCGAAGGTGGGCGGCTGGAGCTGGTACAGTTGGGTTGAGCGGGTGCTCCTGGGTTGCCTCACGTTTTTCCATAAGAGAAAAAAAAAAATCCTTTCTTTATATTTCTAATATTGCTTCTGATAATTAAAACTAAATTAAAAATGTAATTTAGTTGTCAGTGAGCAGTCTAGATGGTTATTTGGCTTGTTTTATTCATCTGAGTCAAGGCACGTTCTGTCGATGCTGCAGCTCGGAGCAGTCTCATTTCCCAGACCTCTCCCATGTGAGCGGGACACGGCGAGAGCTGTGCTGGCGGCCCTACAGTCAGTGCTCCTCGAAAGGAGGCCATTCCTCTGAAAACACAAATCATTAACATGCTTTCCTCTCTGTATTTTGCAAAAGAATATCTAGGATATTTTTCCCTGTGCATCTTGCTTTCTTGTCATTTCTCAATCTGCTGTCAGTGCAATGATCTCCGTCCGATTCTTTCCATCGCGGCCGTGATCAGCGTGAGCATGATCCTCGTGGTCATCAAGAGAATTACTTTCCAGAAAGCAAAGTGTGCTCACCGAACGGCTTTAAAAATTGCCCTGCCTGATAGGAATTACTCACAAAGCTCATTAACCTTTCAGTTCTCAGTTTGCATAAAGGCTGAAAAATATAGGTGTGCCAGATGGAGTCTTCTGTGCATTAGAAGTGACAGAATTCTGACTTCTAATGCTTCAGATGTGTGCTTATCTTCCTGATATTGTTGGGAAAGGGCAAATGTAAGGAAAGCAGCTTCAGCGCCTGCGTACCTGGAGCCAGGATATAGCATGGGTAGATAACAAATAATGCTTGATGACAACGACACGTGCCATCTAGAGGGAGCAGCACAAGCAGTGCTGGGGTAGTGCTGAGGATGTGCCACCAAAGCCCTGCACTTGTGCAGAGCCTCTCCTGTGGGTTCAGAGCACGTCACAAGGACAAGTCAGGCACTCTTTCAGCGTAATCATTATTGCCCTCGTATTACAGATAGGAAAGCAGGAATGGAGAAGCCAAGGGCACGTTGCATGTTGTTAGGAGGGCCACTGAAGCTAAATTAGCAGACAAGTGGTCCCCAGCGCTCAGTTCTTCCGTGTGAAGGGCGGGGTCTTCACCGCTGCCTTCTCAGGCTGCACAGCTCTGTCCCTGAGCTATCCATACTTCCCCTCATGCCCCAAGGACAGCAGGAGGGCATCAGAGTGAAGGGAAGCTCTCACGGTCCTAGGGTTACAGCTACGAGCCTCAGCCGTACCCACAGGTGCAGTGGAGCTGTGCACGGTGACAGCCTGCATTTCTTGTGACATGCCGTCATTTGTCACTTGTGTAAAATTACACCAGACAAGAAATGTAGGGTTTTATGCGTTTTACTTGTTCAGTGCTTGGGCAGATAAAACCCATGGGATACAGCAGAAGAAAATCAGGCCACTTTATGCTGTTAACTACCTAATTTAATTAATGTTCAACCCAACTTCAGGATAATTGGGTTTGGGGAAAAAAAAAAAATATATATATATATACCTTTATTAAGACATCAAAGTAACAAACTATAAGCCTTAGAAGCAGGTGAGGCTTCTGTAGGTCACCAGATATGAAACCCAAAGCAGTCACAGACATCACCCAGTGTTAGTAACCCTTCCAGTATCCAGGGCCACAGCAAGGATTTTCTGCGGATTTGAACCACTGCAGCTTCAAAACTGGTTTTCTAGATTTCTGCCCGTAGTAGGTCAGATCAAAATTGGGTTTCAAAAGCTATTAGTGCAAAGCATAAAGTTTTGACCTTTCTCAGTGTTTGTTTTTTTTTGTGTTTTTTTTTTGTCTTTTGACTTTTTTTTTTTTGTAGGACGAAGGATGATTTTTTTCTATTATTGCCTTTTGAGAGTGACTTGTTTGCATATTTGTTTGCTGAGGGTCGGTGGTGGCTCTGTTAGTTTGTACTAAGCTGCTAATCATGCCAGCTGAAACAAGCCTGGCATTCCTATGCTCCTCACAGAGCCTCCAGTTTTGCTCTATCAACACTTTCCTTAAGTGCACTGCATTAAGGATGCCGTACGGCAGGCTTCCACCTGGAGGCAAAGCCTGCTCCTGCCTCCCCCTCCTTACTCGAAACCTGAAGTCTTCTCACATTGAGTATTTAATTTCCCTTTGTTCAGGATAAAATGATATGTAAAGTGTGTGTTGCCATGGATGCGGGGCTGCGTGCCGAACGATCCTCCCCTTACCCAGGTAGATTTCAACCAGGATGTTCAATGCCAGCCAGCACCGCAGCGCGGATGGGCTGGGGTGGGGAGAAACAACTTGCAAACTGAAGTTCCCATAGCAAGAAATCCTCTTGTTGAAACAAAGCGAGCCTCGTGCCCCCTGGGTGCTGCAGGGCTTGGGCTGGGTGTGCTCAGCAGCACCCGGTTCTCTCCCTCCCCTCCTCGGCATCTCACAGGGTGTCTGAAGCAAGTGCCACAGTCTGCAGCCTGCCCTGCTTGGCCCTCATCCTGCAGGGGCCAGGGATGCAGCCTGGTATTTAAACATGAGGAGGGGTGCTGAAGGGGATGGGTGATTAGGGGGTTTACAGCCTTCCCCTAACTTAGTTTTGACCCTATTTTTTCCACACATTGTACTTGGCATGGCTCCATGTCCTTTCCTTGCAGCAGCAGCATACTTGTATCACAGCGTCAATTTGTCGTTGTAATTACCCTGGACTGTGGCCTCCAATGGCCTGCTCTAAAATCATTTAATTTAAGTTTGTCTGAAGAGCACAGCCCTGTCTCCCTGAGCTCGCACCCAAACCGTCTCCTTTTGCTACTCATTCTCTATTCCCCCAGGAGCGCATGGCTACGGCCTGCCCTTGCTCCTTGCAGCCCAGAGCACAAACTTCAGTCCCTCCCAGACCACGAGCTAAACACCTTTTTTGATTTATTTTTTCTCATTTTGGGGGGACCTCCTGCACCCTGCTCCTCACCCAAGCCCCCCACATGTCCCTTAGAGGCGGGCAGGGTGCTGGTGCCTGCAGCCGGCGCTCCCCCTGCTTCATGCAGCAGCGCTCTTCTGGGCCCTCCGTCCTCTGTCACTCCTGGGAGCCACCACAGTGGGAAGACGCCTTCTTTTTTCTCTTTTTTTTCTCACTGGAATGGGCTTTAATAAAGCTATTGTATTTGATCAGCGGCTTAGGAAACAATAATTTAGCATAATAGGGAAAGATCATTAATGTTCAATGAACCTAGCACTCTGCTCCAGTTTTTGCTGCCCTAGAGAGACGGAGTAAACTCTTTTTCCTTAATTGAAGACTAAATAGAGTACGTTTCATTTTTCATCCCCAGCACTTTTTCCAATAGGCTTGTGATGCTCACTAATGCGTGCTGAAAGGGGTGGACCGCCTGGCGGCAGGGGAAAAATTGGGTGGGAGGGCTTGGAGCGCATAAAAACGCGCTCGCTCTTCATCAGACGGCTCCCCTGGGCCCTCGGCTTCCTCCGTGACGAGCCTCAATTTGGGGGAGCCGAGGAGTTGCGATGGTCCCAATGGTCCCTTATGCCTCTGAGAGGAGGGTGATGCCCACTCCTCAGGGGCACAAGGGTTTGGGGACAGGACTGGGGGCTCGCACTGGTGTCCGGGTGGCACAGTGACCGCCGCTGTGCCCACCAAGCACGGGCACCACGGGGCTCAGTGTGCCACAGCCAGGGGCGGCCCCCGCTGTCGTGACAGGGAAATATCACGAGTGGGGAAGCCATAACCCTCCCTTCCTTCCCTCCCGGCCGCGATATCGCCGCTTTAAGCCGTGTGAGGCTGCCGGCGGAGGTGGGGCCGTGCCGTGGCTCTGCCTCACAGCAGCCTCCCGGCCCCGCCTCAGCCCGGCCATGCCGCGGGGGCCGCCAGGGAGGGGCCGGGGACGAAGTCAAGTGGAGCCCGGGGATAAATCTCTCTGGTTTTGCCTTCGGTCTCTCCCGGCAGGAAGAAATGGTCTTGTTTTCTGCCTCCATCAGTCACGGCAGGGGTGTGTTAATGGACCGCTGGGATGCTTCTTGGCTCGTTGGAGCCATCCCGCCGTCTGTCTCGAGTATAAGCAGTCCCTCAGGGCGCTCGCCGCTGATGCTGCTTAGGGAAAAAAAAATGTATTTGGGAACAATCCTGCCAGCGTGCCATATGGTGGAGTTTAGGGTTTCCTCGTTTGGTGAGTCGGGGCACCTGTGTGAAAGCATTGTTGCTTTTAAATTTTCTCTCTTGCTGCGGTTTGTGCTTGTTGTGCCACGGGCTGGTTGCAAGAGGTGTCTGGGACGCAGGGTGCAGTACCCGGCAGCTCTGGGGGCTGGCACGCCACAGGCACCTCCAAACCTGGAGCGAGAAAGCAGGGAAGAAGCAGAGGAAATTCACCAGTGTTTCTGTACTTAGGAGGTAGCTCTCAGAGGCAGAAGGAAAGATAACGTTGGGACCACAAACCAGAAACCAAACACATGCGAAATGGGATTTGGCACTGTTTTGAGGCTGGCTGGTGAACGGAGCTTAGAGCTGCCCCAGAGAGATGAGTGCTGTGGAGTGAGAAAGGCTGGAGGTCACAGTATTTGGTGGTATGGTGAAGGAGCATTCACCTGCATCACAAGATGTGCTATTAGGGCTGATTGAGATGCACCCAAAAACCCACACGTTGGTGCTGTTGTTGGAAGCCCTCAGTGCTCTTGTGAGGAGATCTCCTTCCCCACCTCCCCTTGTCTCCAGTGAGGCACCACGTGTAGCCTGGTCTTTGCCCCATGCTCACTTTGAAAGGCTTCCATACTAGCCCTGACCACCCCCATGGGCCCACAACTAACCTTCACTTGCCAACAAGCAAAAGATTTGCTTGCCAACAAGCAAAAACCATGGCCTTTGGTGTCAAAACAATGCAAAAAAGACCACAGCTCGATGATCAAACCCAGTCATCTCGCTGGGAGGTGGGCTGGCAGCTGGGATGAGCAGAGAGGCCCTCCTGTGTTCTTCCTGCACCTCAGTATGTGAGTAGGAGGGGGGTTGTTGCAAGGGGTGTCTGTGAGGGGCAAGGTTTGAGAAAGTTGCCTACTGTATGCATTGCTTCTCCCAGCCTCTGAGCCATCAGGCAACTCTAAAGCCAAATACTCCTCTGATGAGGGGCCTGGGTTTCCCCTGGTGTTGCTGATAACTATTTATGCAGAGTGGAGGAGCATCAGCAGGAGAGAGACCCAGCACACCAAGCGTTAGAGCTCTCCCTTCTCTTGAAGGCAGGTGCTTAAATGCCTTTAGGATTAGGTGGGGGGTTAGGATTTACTTTTTGGATGTAGGCATTTGAATCAGGGGTTAGTTATTTAAGCTTCCCTCTAGCAAGGTCTCAGCACATTTTTCAGATTCTCTTCTGTTAAATGCTGTAGATAAAATCAGAAAATGCTCCTGCAAAAAGCCTCCCTTAGACTGCCCCAACTCTTTTATTTGTCAGCAAGCTGCTGCCTCTCAAATAAGAGTAACATTTTGTTTTCTTTTTTTTTTTTTTTTTTTTTCAGGGAGTAGATGAAGCAAAGGAAGCAAATATTTCAGGTATTCCTTAAGTACTTCACACTTCACTTTTTCTCTCCTGAAGCATGCATCTTTGATTGCTTCCTTAATTAGTACTTCTTAAACCTCTCTCTGCTCACATTTATAAATAAATCAAAATATAAATGCAGAGTATTAATTTATCAGGCACTCAATCTGTGTTCCAGAGAGCAAATTTAACACCTGTACATGAAAGGACCGAGTGCCTCCCACAAGCTTCTGAGCCACTGACTTTGGTGGTGTCTGTGGAGCATCCATGAGCATCTCTCAGAGCCCTGCTTCAGTAACAATTATGCAAGGAAGCCTTGAGAAAAATGAATTGCTTGTGCAGTTGCATTTAATTTTCATTCTAGCAGGTCTCCCAGTTCACTTGGCAGCCTTTCTTCCTTTTTTCCTTTCTTTCTTCTTTTCTTCCTTTCTTAATTCATGCTTGCTTGCTTTTTTCATTCTTTCTTGGTCGTTTTGACTGAACAAAAGCAGTCCCACAAGGGCAGGCTAATGTATTCATAGTTTTGCTGCAACTTGGCTGATAGAATAAGCTGAAAAATTGCTGCCTCCCATTGTTTACGGAGAATCTTTGTTGTGCTTTGTACAGTTGAAATAAGTTCTGTCTAGTGACCTCTGCTCTCTTTCCCTACAGAACAGAGCATGTTACACTGAGCCTGGTCACACTGGAGATGGTGGAAAGGCTAAAGTTCAAGTTCACAGACCCCAGAGTAAGTTACTGAAGTGATTGCTTGTTTGAACGTTTGCTTGCTTGCTCTTGCCTTTCATTCTCCTTGATCTAAGCGTAGTATATTGTTAATGCCTATTCGAACATTGCATTAAGCTCTAATTAAGCCTGCCAATCAGAAATAAAGAGAAAGCAGGCTTCTAATATGCCTAGTGGTAAGTCACATTTTCCCCTTCAATTTTCTGACTACGAACATGCTACTGGTAATTGTGGGTTTGTTTTTTTTCTCTGTACAGCAGACAAGCGCTTAATGAACTTTTACCATAGTGTTTACCTCAAGGGTCAGCTTCAATTATAAAATTGTTTTGAACAAACATCACATGGAAGGTCCAGACTTTGCCAGGCTGTAGCTAAGGTCGTACTGGAACAACATAGAGAAGTCAAAGAAGTTGTTTTCAACTTTTCATGCAATGTCAGAAACTGTCTTTGAAATGTCTCAGAGGAGTAACGTGATCAGGTGGAGTTAATACGACAAAAATGCCTGGAAGGTCTTTTTGGAAATAGAAGAGAAGGTGCAACATGCAGAGTACCACATCCTGTTTCTGCTATTGGAGCAAAAGCTACGGATGGTTACAGCTAGAGTAAATTCTAATTTGTTAACCAGAAACCAATAATGGCAATATCAAATGATGTGGCTGTTGAGCTTCCACTGAGGTCTTGGGATTGAGTGTTACTACTATTTATAAGCAACCGTAATAAAGGGAGGTGGCTTGTACTCCACAGCAGATTTGTGAAATGAAGCATATTGATAGAATTGAGATTACAATGGTTTGTACGAGAAGCTTTTCATGATTGAAAGGTGACGGGATCAAACATTACATAAAATTCCCAAATATCAGTCAGTAATTGTCTTAATTTCAGGAGGACACCAGAAGTTAGGCGCCTCATTTTGATGCAAAAAACAGGATAGAATAATAGTATAGCAGGACTAGAGCTTCCAGCTAAGATAACCCAATAGATCTTTCCCTGATTGTTTATTAACCACGATGATGGTTTCTGTACTTCTCAGCTGTTGAGCGTTGTACTTTAGTGCTTGTAAAATTTGCATTGTGTAGAAATCATGTAGCAGGGGTAAGCTGATGCCAGACACCTGAAAGGATGGGGAAGAAAGTTGTGACTGGAGACATATGACTCCTCGATGTGCTGTCCTGCTTCATGGACTTTAATAAGAGATCTCGGGCTAATTAAGCTTTAATGCTGTGGGTAGGGAAGGCTGACAGCTCTGCTCTAGCCTGACCCATGTCTCAATGTGCTTTTGTGCCTGCCTGCTTTTTTTTTTCTTCCTTCCCCTGTTGTAATCCTTATGGAACATCTGCCTGAGCCAGAAACAAATGGCAGCTTGTTCTTGGGATGCAGCGTCCTTGCTGGTATGCTCGGGTCCTGAAATCCTTCAGCGCTTTGTTCCTATAGTGCTTTTTCCCCTCTAGCTCCACGAGACTTGATTAATCCAAACGCTGAATCCCGCAGGCACTGTAGTTATTTTTAGCATTAACATTCGCACTCTGCGAAGGGTGGATGAAGATTTATGATTTTGTCTAATATAAATCTCACAGCCTTTCCTTTCGTTGCTAAAAACTTGGATGGATTCCAACAAACACCCACCCTCCCACCCCCCAATGCCCGAAGTTGCCTTTTATTTCTCTAATTAAAAAGTTACTGGGGCAGCAATTCTGCCTGGTGACCATGGGTCAGAGCAGGTACCACATTTTGAAGTTGTGCACATTTAGAATTTCCACTCTCACTTTTGGCTGCTAAAACTTTATAAATCTTCATACTGGAAAGAACCTTTTGAGTGCTTTCCATTTTGAGAAGGGAATGGAGGTTGGAGGCCAGAGAGAGAAGAAAGGTGGCTTAAACAGAACCTTCCTGGTGGAAACTTGCTTTATTTTCTACTTCACAAGAATTTTTTCAGTCTTCTCTTCCATTTCTTCCTGTAGCCAATATCTTTTTATGCTTGACTTTAGCTGGTACTGGGCTTGCTGTTCCAAGGGCACGGGGAAAGGCTTTTCAGTAAGAAATTTCAAGAATTTGACCAGACCATATTCTTCCCCAGTCTGTGAAGAAGGCGTGCAGTGAAAGAGAGAGGCTCAGTGCTGATGGCAGAGAAACAGCAAACTGCTGCGTGGTGGTGGCTCTGTGATCATTTGAACCAAATCCTTGTAGCTGCACACGTGATGCACTGCATGCCCCATGCAGTTCTCTGGCAGGTGGACCAAGGCACAAGCAGCAGCGGGTGACCTGTGCTGGAAGAGGCTGTCTGCTGCCTGCTCTGGAGCCTGCTGCTTCTGCCAGCAGTTCCAGAGACTCTCTGCTGGTGTTTTGCATGCTACCCTTCCTGGGCTCTGCACATCAAAGCACAACTGGGCAGTTACTGCCCATGGCAGTTCTTCCCACCCATTTTTCCAAGCCGGGCGTGCCTTACTCCATAGCTGTTTCCTGGCGCACCTAAGTCTGCTTTCCAGTTTACACCCCAAAACCCCACTTAAAATGAACTTGAAGTGTCAGTAAAGGCAGCTTTAATTACCATTTATTTTCCAGCACGTGCTTAGGCGTGCAAATGTGCCCAGCTGTGCCAGCTGGGACCTGCTGCTTTCACCTTGTGTCCTCCTCCTGCTTGCAGCCACTACTACAGAAGCTTGCAGCATTGCTTCCCAGACACCGTGAGGGCTGTACGCTGGGGCTGCGGGGCACAGAATGCTCCCTGCTGACAAAATCAGGTGCTGGAGAAAACTTGTCACTGTCTAAATTATTCTGCTTTTCTGGAAACTAGATTTCTCTCTTCCGTGCGTTTTGTGAAATCTGCATGATTATCAGCAGTTCCTTGCAGTCTGCCTTTGCAGCAGAGCTGCAGGCTTTGGGAAGCTGTTTTGTGGCTCGGGACGCAGCAGCAGTAGCAGCAGGAGAGCATCTCAGCTTTTCCTTCGCAGGAGCAGGGAGCAGGGTGGCTGTGCCAGCCGCCGGGAGGGTAACCAGCCAGGGTGTCTGTAGCTATACATTTCCCCATACAAACATGAAATCAATATGCTGCAGCAATTAACTAGACTTCATAAACTTCAGCTGGCAAGCTTTCTGGAGGCGATTCAAAAAGGCAGCAACAGTTCCTGGCTTGCCCGAGAGGGAAATCAGCTTGGGTTATTTCTTTTCTTTAACTGGTGAGGAGGACATAGGCCAGCTGAAAGGGGAGAACGCGTAATGACCTTGTATCAACCTCAATTTAAGGAAAAAAAAAGAGAAAAATAAAAATAAAATAAAATAAAGGACCTTCTCCGTATCTTCTTCTGTGCCTCTGTTACAAGTGTACAAGTGGAGAAAACAATTTTCAAAAATCTGAATAGAATTAAAAAAAAAAAAAAAAGCCTCTACTCCCTGCCATCACCACCACCTCTTTTTTGTAGGCTTTAGTAAGTAGGTTCTAGTAACTATTTGTTTGGCAAGTGGTGATTCATTTGCCCAAAGATCTGAATGAAGCAAATGCTGTTTTGACAAGCAGAGCCAAGCTGTCAGGCTCCGTTTCCCTGCAGGCAACTGTACCTCGTGCTCCTGGTGCCAGACGATATTTGACATTTAATTTAAGACCCTCGGTGGCTGCATATAAAAGTTTACTGTGATAACAGTGATAAAGCAGCCGAGTGTCATATTGTTATATTTGACAGTCTTTTCTTCCGCTCTCCTAGTTCATCCCCGTGCTTGGTTTGGGCTGAAGGATCGGACTTGAATTAGGAGAGGAGACTTAACCCTGAATTTTTATGAATTGCAGAGACCTGACTTGCAGATAATGAGCTAATCATGAATCTTACTCTGGCTCTGAGATCTCTCCCTGTCTTACCCCTAAGATGCCACGCAGAATTTATGCAGAGAGAAAGGAAGGGGTTAGGGATAATGTCAGCTGAAGAGAAGGACCTTCTGTTCATAATTCATTCAACTACTCATCTGCTCACAAAGTAGCACGTACTCTATTGATCAGTAATGCATTTCCCACAGGAAAAATGGCACTAATAGTATCGACAAGGCTGTGTTTGGATGAGGAGAGGGAACTGGATTTAAATGCATTTATTTTTTTTAAATCATCCTGGTCCGCTTCCATGCCGGGGGCATGCTGCGGCTGCGCAGGCTGAAGTAGGTCAGGCTGGCTGTGCCTGTGGCCGGATGGCTCCCGCGAGGAGAGGTCAGGATGCTGGGGCAGCTTTTCAAAGCGCCTTCCGTCGCCGGTGACACGGCCGTGTGTCTGTCTGACTGGGCAGGAGCAGAGGTGATGGGCCTGGTGCAGCAGGTCGGTGGTTTTGTCCTCAGATGAAGAGCTGGTTCCTGGAACAGCAGGTACAGCACCACAGTGAACTACTTTTTTGTTTTCTTCCCCTGTTTGAAAAAAACGCGCTACTGCGATCGACACGAGTGCTCTGTCACTTGTGTTATCTGAGTGGGGAGTAAACGCCACGGTGAGCTGTGCTTTTCATGCGGTGATTAAAATATTAGCAGTGAGTCTGTGCTGAAGATCCTTCTTGCGCTGCTGCTGGTGGAAAGCAACTGGGAGGGAAATTCTTAAGGGAAGAAAAAATGTTTTACAGTCTCTGGGATCTAACGTGCTTCCCATGAAGAAGTTACAAATTCAGTCCTACAGCAGCAGCCAGAAAGGATATGGATGATGTTTGAAGTCTTTCGGTTTAAAGTGAGTGGGCATGGCACAGCACGGGGGGATGGATTTCCTCCGAGCAGAACAAACAGATTCCACATCAGTGCTTAAAAATAGTGCCTGCCTGCACGAAAGCCCCCAGCTCCTCGTGTCACTTCCAGCCACCCACTTCCTCCACAATTGTCTGGAGTGCAGTTGTTTCTCTCCGGCTTTTAGCAGCTGATGAGGAATCTGAGGTTAGAAGATAGCTGTTGCTCTCAGGGAGCACTGGGGCTGCCTCGGGGTGTACGTGTAGCTCCCCGGCAGCCTCTGCTCCAGTGTGCCCCTGTGCCTCCTCAGCAGGCTCCGAGGGG